TAGAATAGAATAGAATAGAATAGAATAGAATAGAATAGAATAGAATACTTTATTGGCCAAGTGTGATTGGACACACAAGGAATTTGTCTTGGTGTAAATACTCTCAGTATACATGAAAGAAAAGATACATTCATCAGGAGTCGAGAATCATAAGGTACATTCTGCTCATAATAATACTCAACTTTTAACTGAGAGAAAATTTTCACTAGTAGTTTGCCTGTCCTTTTGTGAGCAAATACTACTTGTACAAGAAATTCTTCCATGATTCCTGGAATAGAATCTTGCTTTAATAGCAATCAAATGGGAACATTGTAAGTTAAACACCATTTTCTTCTACTTAGCTAGACTCTTTGGATTTTGGGAGATCAATATTGATTGGGTACAGGTAGTCCTGAATGTATGGACTGGAATTTTGGTCACTAAATGAAATGGTCATCACATGACTGGACCTGCTTTGATGACCATTTTTACTGCAGTTGCAAAGAGAATCAACTGGCTTCCCCAATTGACTTGGATTGTTGGAAGCCAGTTGAGAAGGTTATAAATCATGATTATGTGACTGCAAGACATTGCAACCATCATAAATGTGAGCAGATTGCTAAGCGCTCAATTTGTGATCACATGACTGGTGGTGGTGTGATGGGCATAACTTCAAGGACTAGTCATAAGTTTTCCAAGACCATCATAACTTTGACCTGTCATTACATTAATGGCTATAAATTAAGGACTACTTCTATTTGGCAGAAGTTTTACAAAACTTCCATGCTTGGCATAATCAAGCTTGCTGAACAGAGGAAAAAAGCAAAGTATTAAATAATACAAGATCAAAATAATCTTTGATTCAACAAAAAGCACAATGTATAGTTGCTAACAATGAGGGTCTCATTTAACCATGATCTTGCAACACAGAAGTAGAAGTGGCCTAACTTCTGAAGTCTTCTTCCAGAATTAAACACTGTGGGTGAGATGGTCATTGAGAATGGTTACACAAGGACCTATTACAGTGTTTCTCAGCAACGTTCAATTGTGTGGACTTCAACTTTCAAAATTCCCCAGCCAGCAACACTTTACCTATTAGATTGAAATATGTGGGCATAGGAACAAGAAATCATTCGGTAGTATTTGCAGTAGTTGTGATGATTAAGTGCTACTTCTGTGAAGAACTATTAGGAAGAGGTAAAATGGGGAAAAATGTGTCTGAACCTGGTACCCCATTCCTGACTTAAAATATAATAATATTTGACACTCAATATCTTCAAGAGGAATTTTTGGATTGATCTCAGAAATAGAACTTCGTTCTGAATGTTGAAATTAAACCCATTTTCCAGCAGGTTCCCGCA